CACGGTGTTACCTCTACGTAGCTAATTATGGATCTTACTACATAATAAAGTGCAAACACTGTCAAGCCCAAGTAAAAATATTTTTGTGTGTTTAACTTGTTTAGAATGCATGCAATGTAAAATGACACTCACTCAGTTCCAGGTAAGCAGGACCTTTGCATAGCATCCACTGTGCACCGCAGGAATTCATGAGCATCTTCCTGGCTTCCATAGCAGAAGTGGTTTGCAATCCCTGTGTGAGGGGAACGAGGAAAAACAGAACCAAAAAACAAAGCAGGAGGTGAATTATTGTAAAGGATACCACAGTTAAATGCAAGTTTACGCTTATTTAAAAACAGAATTCAAAATCCCTCCAGATTATTTCCCTCCAAAATTACAATATATGATATCATTTCATTCTTTTCAAACAGACACAATTGAAAGGTACAAATGTATTGTGCATGAAACACTGGGTTTAACAAAAACAACGACATTATCAGTACCCTCAGGTGAGGAAGTACCTTGTTCATGTGTGGTGGCAGCTGGGGACCTATGAAGCCAACAATGTTGTGATGCATGGTGGCGATGGTGCGTGGACTCACCACCGGCTGGGGAGATGCCTGACCAGATATGCCAGCGTTATGGTTCAAGCGGCTGTAGTCCTCAGTTTTTCCCACATCTGTGCACCTGATGACATGGAAAAAAGAATATTAACCATGACAAAGCATCAACATTATAACATTAGGTTATAATAATACATTTTCTACAAGAAAAGTGGGAATAAACATGTCTACATTATTAAATAATGATGGGAAAAGTTCGACTGAAGGAATAAGCCTAGAATGTTTAAAAATACCAATGTTTACTCACTTGATGTAGAAGAGGACATAGGCCTGCTGGTTCAGAACAGTGCTAATGTCACTGACTGACACGGACGAGTCATTCATCTGAAACCACTGCTCATTGCTGGCCTGTGAGACAGAATGAGAGATGTGACACAGCAGATTCAGTTTCTGAATTGAATTTGAGCTAAAAAGAAGAATCTTATGGTTATATAGGGGTCTTTTTTTTCTTTCTTTCAATGCATACAAAGTATTTTTCTCTGTTTGCATTCAGTTTTCTGCTGAAATGTGTTGTTTATGGTGTGTGTTTGTTTGTACTACGCAACAGCAGCATTCAAACAGATTCGGGCACAGCCAGTACCTTAATATAGCAGAAATAGTGTCCAGCATGACAACTCAATTCAGAGTGAACCAGCACAGCATACAGCCTGTAGAGCTGGGGCTCCCCGTGGGACTGAGACACTGTTACTATTTTTACCATTTCTTCTTGGAGCAACTGTAATGCACATAATTTCCTTAGGGATTAATAAAGTATTCTGATTCTGATTGTTTCAGGATGACCTGCCATTATCCAATGACACATCTGCTTACCTGTATCTTTTGCTCGTTTCTCCTCCTCTTCTTTTCTTTTTTTCTAAACTGAGGACCTGATGGCTTTGAACTTTTCTTGTCCATCTTCCATTGGTTTTAATTTTGCACTCCAGTATGAACACCCATCCCTCAACCCAAGGATCACCACAACATGATCTAACACACCTACACCTTAGTTCACAGATTCACTTTGTCTAGGGTGCATTTCTGAGATTTCACACAACCCAGGATTCAAATCATGAATACATAATGGGCTTGGATTTACATCATTATGAATGAAATGTGCTCTATTTGGAAGCAGCCGGCCCCCCTCCCCTTTCGAGTTGTGTGTGAGACTTTAAATCATCAAACTGTAAATTTTAAATTGTTATTGATCCCTTTACCCCGAGTCCTAAAGTGTATATTTATTTTCTTACTCTTCTTATATATATTGTTTGTTTACTTGCACTGCTGTAACTGAGAGCTTCGTTGTCTCGTCCTATAACTAGGTTGTTCAGTCTGACGTCACTAGCCGTGTCTGGGCCTAAACTCCGCTGCAGGTCCATATATCAAACGATCACTATGGCATTACTGAGAGTTGAAAAACTGTCTAAAGTCTTTCATCTTTAATAAAATGATCAGGTTCTGCTCTACCAGGTGTAACAATTGAGTTTAACATCCAGGCATCCATGAAAACGGAATTTATGACATTTAACGGAGTTAGAAGTTAGCAGGGAGTTAGCTCGCTAGCTTCTATCTAAATACAATATAGCATGTCCTGACTGCGGGGTTTTGGAAACAAATTAAAACGTACAGCTCTGTCTATCACTTCCAACATAAATGAAGGCAGGAACTAAGCAAGTTAGTTTGTATAGGTTACAATTTGCTAGCACATGGTGATTCAATGAGTGCTTACGGACGAGACATCACTATGTAAACAAAAACAAATAAAAAGCATGATTTAAAATTGATTAAAACAAGCAAACAAACAAACTAATTAACAAACGAAACAAAAAAACAGTATATAAAATCAAAACAGATAAAATCAGAACAGTAGATAAAATCAGTAGTTAAATGTAAGTTTTGAAATTTAAGCTTAAAAGTGTGGATTTGGTGTTTTATTCAAATGCAGCTGAGAACAGGTGAGTCTTCAACCTGGATTTAAATAAACTGAGTGTTTCAGCTAATCTGAGGCTTTCTGGGAGTTCGTTCCAGATATAAGGAGCATAAAAGCTGAATGCAGCTTCTCCGTGTCTGGTTCTGACTCTGGGAACTGATAAAAGACCGGATCCAGATGACCTGAGGGATCTGGAAGGTTCATACTGGGTCAGGAGGTCACTGATGTATTTTGGTCCTAAACCATTCAGAGCTTTATAGACCAGCATCAGAACTTTAAAGTCTATCCTCTGACGGACAGGCAGCCAGTGTAAAGACCTCAGAGCTGGACTGATGTGGTCCACTTTTTTGGTCTTAGTGAGGACTCGAGCAGCAGAGTTCTGAATGAGCTGTAGTTGTCTGACTGATTTTTTAGGTAGACCTGTAAAGATGCTGTTACAGTAATCAAGCCTACTAAAGATGAATGCATGGACTAGTTTTTCCAGGTCCTGTTGAGACATCAGATCTTTTATCCTTGAAATATTCTTGAGGTGATAGTAAGCTGATTTTGTTATTGTCTTAATGTGTTTTTCTAAGTTTAGGTCTGCATCCATCACTACACCCAAATTTCTTGCCTGGTTTGTGGTTTTTAGGTGTATAGATTGAAGTTCTCTGGTGACCTGTAATCGTTTTTCTTTGGCGCCAAAGACTATTACCTCAGTTTTGTTTTTGTTTGAAGACAGAAAGCTAAACAGCAGTGACGTTTGTAGGGTTACTGAAGTTTGTCTAGCTGGTATATAATGATGTGCTACGTGACCGCTTGCGACACAGCTATGTTAGCATAATATAAACAAGCTAACTTTTTTCCACTCGATAAAAGTTAACGTGAGTGTTCTCGGTGGTCAGGAACAAATGTAATCGCATGGCAGGATGCTGTAAAAGGACCAAACTTCAGCCAGGAGAACAACTGAGATAATCCATCCACAATACGTGGTTAGACATTCATATACTGCTGCATGGGCTGGGCTGTAGTTACATCCTAAGGTTTTAAAAACTGAGCTTAAATAAATGATTAGCGGTAATAAAAGCCGAGGGAGGTGAACAGTGATCACTGACTGTTTTAGGAGCTTTTTGAGATTAAATAGAAGAAAATACATAACATTAAACATGTTAACAACATAAAAGCCATATTAAACGCAGACTACTTTAGGCCCGGAAGTAGGATTCGTCACGTCATCACTTAACAATCGGATAGAATCTAATTTACAGTATCTCCAGATTTGAATAAATTCTAATATTTCAAAAATCCACAGGTTTTAAGATTAAAGACCTAAAATTCACCCCATGTTTTTTCCTTTACTAAGAGAGAGCAAATCTGATTTTCATCAACACGATCAAATATTGTAGATTAGAATATTAATTCACCTACTCTTACGGAGGAGAAGAAAATTAAAATTTACTATTAAAAATGCACAGAATCCTGATCTCGCTTTAAGGCTTCGTAGGTATTGTTGTCACTGAGAAGAGTAGCGATCTTTGTGTGGTAATCTGTTGTGTTTAGAACCACATCTTCAAGCAACTTAAAGAAGTCCAGACGCTTTTCTTTCCAAGCTCCTTAGACTACGATGACGTGGATGACTGAGAACCTTCACAGACACGTCTTTTCCTGTCGTTGTCCCGATGTCCAATATTTCCTCTGTAACATGCAAATTGGAGTCCACACCACAGATGAAAATGGCCAGCTGTGCAATGTCCATCATGTCTGTACTTTCATCCACAGCAAAAGAGTATGCAATAAAGTCTTTGCTTCTTTCACACAACCGTGTTCTTAAATCAGTGGTCATCTCACAAACTTGATCAACAATCGTATTTCTGCTCATGCTCACATTTGCCAAAATGTTTTGTCTGGACACAAGAAGTCGTACACCTAATATCAATAAAAAAGGATGATTTAGCACTAGCTGCAGCTCACAGTCTACAACTTCTCTGGTCAAATTAGCTCGAGGATGCATTTCCAAAAAATGCTCCCATGACATAACTTTTGAGTCATTCACAGGCCTATATACACACTGTGCAGCTTCATGATAAAACTTTTTTTAAATATAGTGAATGTGGGAAAAGCCGGTGCCCTCTGTCACACCCAGTTTGGGATGAATCAGTGATGTACCATTTCAAATTCAGCTTCGCATCATTTTGCTTTTTTTTTTGTTTGTTTGAATTATTTCGTTGTTTTTACTCTTGCTTAAATAAAAACATTTCATATATAAATCTGATGCAGAAAAGACAGCATCACCTGCATCCAAGAAATGACAGAGTGCTTTGAAACACTGGATTTTCCCAGAAAACAGAAAGTCATTTCATGCCAGTGGTGTCAAATTTAATGAAGTTGGGTTTTTCTTCCCCAGTTCTATTTCATCGAACTGCAAACAGGCCAGAAATTCCCGTTCAGTTTCTCAGATATGAGGATTTGAACGCGTTGTATTGGGCCTCCTAACCACATGAAGGCGCTGTTTGTTTCAGTAATACTGAAAAATCCTGAAATCTGCTGGTCCCTTTAACGCAACTCACATGGAACTCCTGGCCGGTTCTGCCTCGCGTGCTGGCAGTTGCAGCGTTCGTGGACCGGACCGAGCTTAGATATTGTCACCTATCAGTCTTCCTTTTTCGTTTCGCACTTTAAAATCGAATTTTCCCAAAAGGAAAATCTGTAGCTAGCTTTTAGAACTACCAAGTGACATATTTGACAGGTGTCGCATTGGGAAGAAGGCACACAACTCGTTTTATGTACGAGTCTGTCAACGTCAACGTCAACTAACAGTACCGCTCACAAAACGGTTATCTGAGGGGTGACAGAGATGACAGAAGAGCTCGAGCAGATTCTTTCGCAGCTCACACAGCCTGATAATGCAATTATTCAGCAGGTAACGTCACAAATAATTTTATTAAAGTTAACGTTAGCCTTACTTTGCCCGGCTATAAGTGAACTTTTTGAAATGGCTGCTGGAGATAAGCTAGCTGATGTTTGTTAAGGTTTGGTTAGCTAACTGTTAAACCACTGGTACTGATATTTAGGACCACTGGGTTGTTATATTAGCAGTTTACTGCCTGAATAGTTGGTACCTTAATTAAAAACCAGGCTTAGGTTGTGAGTCAGTTGGTGAGCTGTTATTTCTTTGTGGCACCCACCACAGACAATCTCTTTTGTCCTCTTTTAGGCCACAGCCCAGCTGAAACAGGCGTTCAAAGACCCAGCTATTATTCCAGGCTTGTGTGCGGTCATGAGTGGCTCCCAAAACCCTCAGGTATATCTTTTATTATTTTATCCTCTAGTGTGTGTGTGAAAAGAATGCCCATCTTTGTAAACATTTGGCATCCAACATGCAGATCCGTCAGTCAGCTGCAGTGATGCTGAGGCTGAGGGTGAAGAAACACTGGAAGAAGATCAGCCCTAATGACAGAGAGAGGTTTGAATTTTACTTTTCTTTCACACTACCAGCTTTCATAGTTTAAACTCTGCTGTGATGTTTGCGTTTTATTCACACAGTCTGAAGGCAGTGGTGCTGCAGGCTTTCATGCAGGAAACAGAGTAAGAAAATGCTGCACTTACTGTTTTGCATTCTGTAGATATAGACCTACACGTTTGAGCTGTCATGAGCCGTTGTTTCTCTGTTTATTCTCTTTGCAGGCACACGGTGCAGCATTCACTCTCCCAGCTGTGCGCTGTAATGGTTAAACATGAGACACCAGACCGTTGGCCTGCCCTGCTCCAGCTTCTCAATCAGTCCACCAAGAGCAGCAACCCTCATGACAGACAGG